TTGATTATATCATCAAAGGAGAAAGTGTACTCTGTTTTTGGATTCAACATAAGTTAATTTTCTCGATTTTTCATTTGTGCTTGATCATCATCATACATGAATGGGTTTGATAGCTGAAAGTTTGAATGTATACAAATTTCGTAATGAAATTGACGAAACTTTTCTCTATTGCTTGCAGTCTTTATAATACACACATGATGATGACTCATTAGATGTTTGATGATTCCCATTATTAGTTCCGGGCTTTAGAAAGTATGGTATTTTTAAAGTATTTTTAATTAAAGAAACTTGAGTGTTAAGTTTACATAAATGTGAAAACTTTTGGGAAGTGGGATCTTGTCATTGACCTGTCTTTGATTGTTATCGGTTCCAAATTCGTTTAGTCAATACAATACAATATAAGTTTAGCATTCAAATTTTTGATATATTTTTTATTAAGTATTTTTTAAGTATATCTAATTGTCGGATTTTAATTAAAGAAATTTGAGTGTTAAGTTTACATAAATGTGAAAACTTTTTGGAGGTGAGATCTTGTCATTGACTTGTCTTTGATCGTTAGCGGTTCCAAATTCGTTTAGTCGACACAATACAACGTAAGTTTAGCATTCAAATTTTTGATATTTTTTTTACTAAGTATTTTTTTAATCTCGAATTTAGTTAAAGAAATTTGAATCTAAGATGTGCATAGTTTTAAAAATTGTAGGAAAGTGAGATCATGTCATTGATTAATGTTTTGATTATTAGCAATTTTAAATTCGTTTTGTTAACACTATATAATGTAAATTTATTCAAATCTATATCTGAAGCGCTCTCATCTATACATAACTATCCTCTCTTTGTTTTCGATTCAAGTAATATATTTTGCTGTATTTAATTTTTCAGTTATTATACAATTTTTTAATGAAGTTGGCGAAACTTTCTCTATATCTCATACAATTTCAAGATGAATCAGCGAATCTGGTTAGTGAGTAGTATGAGTAATGACAATTGGAAAAAGAGCATATTCATTGGACTCCAATACACAAAAAGCATACGAATACTATATCAATCAGACTCTGCTTTTAATAAATTCGAACCTTTTTATGATGATTTTATTTGGGTGTTTGGGATCTTAAGTCTCTAGAGGGTCCCTTTTGTGTTGAAATATTCTCACTTTCATTATTTTCCACTCGAAGATCATTAGTAAACAAGAAACAGAGTATATAAACCTAATGCAACGTAAATGTTTTCTTTACAAGTGTAGTAGCTTTGTCAACATTCAATGAAACAAAAATATATATATATATAGCTTTAGATGTAACCTCTGATGAATCACTTATAAATAACTAGTTTTGTTTTTCCCCGAATCTGTAGATAAAAAAAAAAAATCAAGAAGAGAAAAGCTATAATATTGTCATATTCATAA